ACGTACAGCCATTCTAATTCAATTGGACTGTCAGACAATCTTCTCACTCTCCAAGTCACATAAGGCCAACAAATGCTCCTCTTACTAGCTATTTTTTCAATAAAAACTTCTGGGTTCTATTATTTATTATTATAGCATTGTATGGAGGTTATATCCTGTGTTCCTAACTTTTAGCTGTCAATTTCAACTCTTCTAACAAACCCTACAGACTTCTAGCCAACACTCCAATGTTTATGTATATTATTATAACATTATTTTGAGGCAGTAAAATAAAGCTATTTGTTAAGCCTCATCTGAGCAAAAATGAAGATAATATTTTGCAGTTACCTGCTCAGATTTAAGAGTGTAGATAAGGCTACATAATATATTGCAAATCAAAACCACAATTTGAAATGATGCAATTATCAACTCGCAAAGGTTGCCATTACTTAGGTCATGAAATCCTCTGCAAAAAACAAATCTTGCTTTTTATTTTATCTTATTGTACCTGTAGTCTAGAAACATGCTCTGAAAAGCATGGGATTCTTGTATAAGTTTATAAGTTCATATTTCTTCTTTGCAAATCTAGACAAACAGAAAAAACAGCCTAATAGATGAGCACTGTTTTGTATTATTAGTATAGTATAAATAGATTTATTACAACAGAGACGTGACTGTGTGTGCACCTCAAGTTTAACTGAGATGTTCTTGGACTTTCTGTTGTTTTGAGAATAGGTGGGACCCACAAAAAGCTGAAAACAATCCAACTGTCACTACACATTTGGGCCTATATCTTCACATGCACCACTGCTCTCACTCTCGTCCCTCACCTCTCCCTGAAACCGCCTGTGCCTGCAAAGACATGCACTCGATCTGCAGCGTGGGACAGGAATGCTTCTGACAGCATTGTCTCAGTCACATTCGCCATGACGCCACAATGGACAGATGCCAGAAGGAGAGCGTCAGTGCAGGGTTTGTGAGCAGGTTTCACACAGGAGCAGAGACACACCCCGAACACCGGACTGAGCTCCAGAGGACAACCACATGTGACAGGAAGTGGAGCCTTTCCTATGCAAACACTGTATATGGTTAGTGCAGGTAGCTCACAAGGTTATGTGCATGATAGATTAGAGAGTTTACAATGCAGAAAATAAAATAAGTATGAGCTGGAACAATATAAAAAATATGATTGATTGTCCTAGAAGAAAATACGTAAACAATGGATGGGGCATGGACCATGTGTCATAATATTAAAGGTCCTTTATTACACAAAATGGATTCTCATGAGCTTTAAGCCATGTTATAATGCTTTTACCTCACAGAGAACATACTTGGAGTTGTATTTTGTTTCATTCACACTTGTCTGATTAATCCTTTATTATTATTCTGTCAACATCTCCAAAGTTCAGAATGTTCTGTTTCACTTTGTGATGTCACGGTCATGGGATAGTTTTCAAGTTACAGATATTTTTTACCTCTAGTTTGGTGGAGATTGGAATTTCCAGGGCTGAAATTATCCAGATGATTCTAGTTAAAGTGTATGGGGTTTAAAAACACAGTGGAGCACTTCCTGTATTACCACATGATATCACAAGGTGGAACATTGTCTTTTCTTTTTTGCCTAAATATGCAGGACATGGGTGAATGGAACAAAACACAACTCCAGGTATATTTTTGATGAGAAAAATAATAATAATAATAATAATAACATAGATCAGAAAATAGTGTAATATGGGCCCTTTAAGGTAATGTAACTTATTACAGTAGCAACCAGTTCGTCAATAAAAAAGACTTGATTCTCCACCGATTTAAGGTCTCACATCTCAAGTTTTACAAACAGCGGCATGAAACACTTGCATACATAGTTTGCATTTGTAATGACTCATAAAAGTTATTAATTCAACCTTTTACTGCTTAAATCTTATTACATAGCTAAAATAATATATATATATTTATATATATATATATATATATATATATATATATATATATATATATATATATCTCACAGCAATTGCTCATGCATTGAATGATAAGTTGATATAGTAATTATTGTGGCAGGCCTGCTAATAGTAACAGATAAAATGATTTCCCGTATCTGATGAGAATGACCAATTATACCTTGGAACTGGACTTACAATAGTGTGGTAATATATCTGTGACATGTTAGTGTCATATGAACCATCTCGCACTCTGAGGACCTCAGGGACCGGCCTCCTGCTGGTGCCCAGAGTCAGGACTAAACAAGGGGAGTCAGCATTTCAGGTTCATGCAGCTAAAACCTGGAACAGTCTTCCTGAACATGTGAGACAGGCCTCTTCTGTGACGCTGTTTAAATCCAGGCTCAAAACATTTCTGTTTAACTGTGCATATAACTGAAAGGTTTTCATTCCGCACTCTTCTCTCCAATTTATGTCTCTCTTTTTTAATTTTAATCTTCATGATTATTTATGTTTTGATTTGTTTTTATTATGATTTTAATGTATTTCTTATTCTGTAAAGCACTTTGAATTACTTTGTGTACGAATTGTGCTATACAAATAAACTTGCCTTGCCTTGCCTATTTCGTTAAGTCCTCCTGGACCCAGAATGCTATTGACCAAGAGGAAGAGTGGCTTTTCAGTTCTTTACACCATTCTCTTCACTGTACACAATTAAAGGAAACTATTCTGACAATGAGGAAGTAAACTGGTGCTCAGGTTAAACGCAGCGAAAGTCTCAGTGATGTAAATGTACAGTATGTGAACATATACTTAAAAAAAACAAAACCACCTGCACATGTTATCCTACCAATAATAGTAATACGGGAACATATACTTAAAAGGTGCATTGTGTAACTCTTCTGGAGGAAGGACCATCACCTGCTTGTTTCTATGGAAATGTCATTTGTCTGCCTGGAATATTCAACAGTATAACATTACACTCCTCTACCTTAAATTTATCCAATGAAAGGTGGCTTTATGGCTCAAAAATACCTAGAAAAGGCATTCTGACTGTGAGCAGGGTCGCCTCTCCACAGATCTGACCTGTAACTTGGCCTGATTTGGTCTCTGTGAAGATAGAAACTTTTAATACATATTGTGAAATGTTCCAGACAAGGCAATAACTACTCCACGGAAAAAAGCATTTGACAGACCCTCTACCAGTAAAGTTACACAATGCGCTTTTAAGGAAGCAAAGTAGTTTGTTGTGGCTCACACGGACCCTAAAACAGTAACTGCTCAATAATGGATACTATTGGTCAGTTACCATAACACATTTTGAAGTATGGTATATCATTGAAGAAAATATAGCTGATAAACAATAATACTGAAACTAATTTATGCCACTGACACAATAACCCTACAGCAGGGTTATCGCCAAAAATACTCCAAATGCACAATATCGTTACAAAAACACTAACTGCAATAAATAAATTGCAGAATTAAACACTTTAATAGTTCATTTTTTGTCTATAATGACTCAAGGAAGTTATTTATTCAACCCTGCAGCTCAAATCTGATCATGGTAAAGGAAAATAGAAAGTTCCTCGCTAGTACAAAGAAAAAGTCCCCACGATAAATATGGACCCCCAAAATAGATACTTACATCTAACATATATTGAACAATTGGAGCTGGAATAGGTTAAGGTAGACGTTATTGTCCAAATAAAAAATGTCCAAATCATGAGTCAGAATTGTGTCCAGGATTATGCAGAGGGAATATAAACCGGAATGTTTCATGTCAAGAACAGGGAGAACATGCAAATATCACACAGAAAGACCTAGGGCTGGGTGTCATTAAGAAGATGCCGATACAATACATATCTCGATATGTAGCCCATGATATGATACACATCTCGATACAGGGCACTTTTGGTTATATATGATATATCTCAAAACAATTCAATATGGTTCAATAAAAAATAAAGGCTAAATCATGGCTGTAATACTAAAAAATCTTTGTTAAACCACAAACCGTGAAAATGTCAAATGTGTTGCATAAACAAGTTTCCTTTCTCTAAACAAAACTGTAGCTCTGTAACAAAATACTGTAGTAAAATATATCAAAAAATCCTATTGGCAATATCGATACTGTATCATCACATTAAATGATACAATACATATTTTTGCACACCCCTAGAAAGACCCCATCTGGTCTGGCAATCAAACCCAGGACCTGTATAAGGGATGCAATTGAAAACCATTTTAAAATACTGGCCTGTTTTCTGTTAAACGTTTGCAACTAAAATCCAGTGTTATCTTGTTATAGTGGTAGCTGTATTTCATTATATGACTGTCCTTAAATAAAAAGGGCATGCGATATGATCTTTTATGATTCGGTTGTATTTCTGACCAAAACTAAGCTGGTAGGCCGTGCACACAGTGACTGAGGTGGGCATATAAATATGAGTCAGCTATAGGAAACCTACTTTGCGCAATCAAAGGCGAAGTATCCCATTGTGACCATGCAGACTATATTTATGTGTGGGAAGTCGACGCACTATGTCACGCTGTAATGGTAAATGACACTGGGGTTGACTAATATTGCCTTGAGACTATATAGCAGTGCGGATAATTAATCAGTGCACATTCTTGAGAGCGCAAACACTTCCCGGAGAGTTATGTAATGTCAGTGAAAATCAGACCCGTGCGGCTCTATGCTGATGGGTTTAGCAGCTCCGCGCAGGTCTGACACGGGTCTGACACGGGTCTCACAGGTGATCCCCGGGGCAGAGGGGGCATAACCTGGGAGAGTAGTAATACCGTGGTGTTGTCAAAATGACATGTCTCCAAGAGGGACACATACACATCTCCAGCCCTCCCTGCAGCTTCTACTGTCAACAAAGCAGGCTGTGCAGGCTGTGCCAGAGCGCCTCAGCGCTGATCACTAAACCATACACATGGACAAATGTATTAAAACTCAGTCTGATGTGTCTCACTGCTCCTCGGGCAGGAAACACCAAAGGGAAACACAGCTCAGGGTAGCTTAGCTCCCGTGCTAGCCCGTTATCATGCAACATTTCCATGAAGAAAACTTACGATGCATTTTCTGCCGAGGTGGTTGAACAAGCACTCGTTTTCTTGATTAGTTAATAACATGGAGCCGGCGTTTGCTGGCCGCCTTTGCGGCGGCTGTCCACTCATACTTGTGCTGAGTTTGTCAAGTCTGCACCAAGCCTAAGTCCAGATATGAGATCCAAAAAGATACATAAACAATCCCTCGGTCATCCGTGGCCTCGTTTCGCCCCCCTCACACAGGAGAGCCCTCACCCGGTGGCGGCTGTTCCTCACGGGCAGATGTCTGTGGGATTCAACACTACTACCCGGTCCACTTTCAAAGGATAAGAAAACGCAGGAGTCTGAGCAAAGAAGGAGAACACAAAACTTTCCTGGGAAGTGCAGCCACCAGAGAGCGCACAGCCAGCCTCATCCAACATGGCAGTGTCAGGACGAGCCCATCTGTCAGGAGCGGGGGATACGCGTCTCCCAGCGGCGTAAAAAACAACGCAATATGAGATACATGAGATTGACAGTTTAAAAGAACAACGGGAACACATGTCATTATCAAGCTCCCACTGATTGTTTGGTTGTGATTGGTATAAATCACAGAAGATTGTATCTTAGTCTCCCGCGTTTTACACTCAGGTGGTGCGGTCCCTCCGCCTGTGGATTTACAGCAGGAATGTGCGCAAGTGGAAGAAAAGAGCAGATAAGAAGTAAGGTGCAGCTCACCAAGATTAGGATAATGCTTCTTATGAGAGCTTATATTAAAGTGGGAGCAAATTTATTTTAATTTTCCAGATAAGACACTTTTCATTCTGTTGGCAAATTTCTTCTAAACTACAGCAAGAATTAACAGGGCAAAGGACATGTAGCACAATTATCAACAGATAGTTCAGTACCCCAGTCTTATTATAGATCCTTGATCATTAGGGAAACTTCAAGACAGCTCCAGCCCACTTTACGTATGCACTGTTTTGAAAAATACTGTCCATATCGGATCTTATACAAACATCCACATCGGCCACTATAGTCCATGGGGCTACTGTAGGCTACAATCAGCCTAATTAAATGCACTGTTTGCCTGGCAGATATTTGGGTGTGTGCAGTTTTACATCACATAGGCTACACACAGTTCATACATATTTGAACAAAATAGCTGTAGGCCGTTTGCAGTCCTATTTTGTGAAACATGCTGGGTCAGGTTCACAAAGGGGTGGTGTGCACATGTTTAGTGCCCTTGAAAAGCAACTAAATACTTTCTCCTTGTAAGATTATGGGCTGGGCTTATTAATTTTCCATTTATTGATTGCATATTGCTCTTTTGATGTGCTGGAACTGTCATTCAGTTTTAGGAGTATGTTATAAATCATTATTTGTTATTCAAGCAAAGGTAACATAGTCTACAATAAAATACATAATGCATATTGGTAGAGTTTGTGTTATTAGCACATTAAATTGACTTAAATTTCAGTGAATAACATAACATTTATTTCCATTTATTGTATATTTTAAGCACACAAGTTTTAGGGTGCAGGGAAACCGGGCACAAAATGGGGAATACACAGAACCCAAACCTGGACTAGAACAAAACAGGATCAAACCTGGATGCACTCTGAGTTATTCCAAAAAGAACCAGCACTTTTTGTGATGTACACTAAAATTTATGTCACCATTACACAGCACAGCAGTCATTCATTGTACTTCCTCCAGGCTCAAACCAATTCTGTGTGCTTTTTTGCAGGTCCAACTTGAAAAACCAGCCCGCCCAGAACCACCTGACGGAGACCTGTAATACTCCACCTCTATGAGTTATCTGTGGTATTGAAGACGTGACTTTATTGAGTAAGGTGTCTGAAGAATTTGATGAAACATGCTACACACCTTTATAAAGTGATTATCGGGTATTAAAGTTCATAAAGTATATATTTCTGAAGTCTGAACAGAACATGCAGAGGGGAAGCTTATGCTGACTATTGGTGCTGTGACATCAAAATAAAGAAAAGAGGTAGTGAAAGCTCAAACAGCGAGAGCTCAAATCACAAAATAAATAAAGGAAAGAAAACAATAAGAAAACAGCAAACGAAATAATAATAATAATAATAATAATAATAATAATAATTCTGTCAACTGGAAAAATGTTTTTTGAATGAAGATTTGCTGGTCATCCAAGCAGGTTCAGCTTCAGTTCAGAAATGAAGAAGGTTGTTTGATCTGTCTGTCTGCTTTCACTACCTCTTTTCTTTAATTTAAAAGTATTTTTTGCAATGTTTCTACAATATTGAATGTGCATCTCTTGTTTTGAACTTATCTTTTGCTATGGAGCCTACCTGGACGACTCAGGGATTACACAGACAACAGTTAAAAGGAGGCCCTTCGTGACGGAGGTAATTCCAAAACCTGGACTGAACAGGCTCGATCTCCCTTTGAGTCTTGACCTTGATTTGAGGTGAATGCCTTTATTAAATATTGCACATGTTATTGGAGAAAAGTCTTACAAGCTATTGTGTGTGAATTATTGATTACATGTATTTTAATTATATTCAAAAGCTAAATTCAAATATTTAACCTTATCATTTCTAATAGCAATTGGTCCTTTAACTTGCTATTCACAGCACATTAACATTGCTGCTCCTGAACCCAAACTGATTTGATTGTAAAAGGCCTATAGGGACGGACACTGCTAATTATCCTTGGCTATAAATGTTGTAGTATGTTACATGTCTAATATACATACTTGTCTCTGTCAAAAAAAAAAAAAAAAAAGAAAGAAAAGAAATAGGCCTATATGTCATCTAAAATCTAGCATTATTCTAGTACTACACATATTATAAAAGTGGTCTGTTTTGTACTGTACCCTATATTATGTCCAGTGCACTGTAGTGTAAACACATTGTATACCCTAAAGCTCTTCATTTGACCCACTTTCCAACAACAAAAAGAGGTTAGAAGAGACAGACATCAGGACAAGAATACATTAATATTATATTTGGGGTTCTGGAGATGACACCCCCCACAGCTCTTTGTATGAATATTTAATAACTACAGCCTTGACTTGATAATTTGAACAGGGTCAATATTAGACCATGGAAAATTGAAAACAGCAGCTTTGTCTATGAAAGAAATCATACTATAAAAACTGAAAAACATATCAGTTAATGAACAAAACTGAGTAAATTATTTATGTGAGGCGCTTTCATGCAAAATACACAATGTTTTCATTGTTGTATTGTGGCTTGACCAGATGTGTCTATTTACCCAAGACAGTCCCAGTTTTGAGCCCTGTGTCCTCTGTCCCATTTGAATGGTCCAAAACCATGATTTGTCCTGGTTTTATACAAGAAATGTCTCAAGTGTCCCTATTTTCGACTCATCTGATCCCCACCAACAGTAAAAAGGGGCTTACATTATTATCTCTTTAGCTGAAATACAGAAAAACATGCTTGAAAATGAGGCAAAAATGCACATAAATCCCTCAGATTATGATTGACACAATTTCACGATTGTATTCATACCAACCATTCCAAATCAGGTTCGTCTCAGTTTTTAATTGTGAAAATCAGGTCACGTCAGGTTTGTGCTCACTGCTTTGTTGACATTACAATTGTTGTGGTTTAACATGGTATGGTGAAGAATGGTGTGGTAATACTAACGACCACACGATGGCAGTGTTACACATAAAAATCATTATTATGTGTCTGAACTTTGTCCCCATTGGTTTTTTCACTAAGTGTGAGTGGGGAGTAATTTGAATGTTTATTTTGCATGCACACAACAAAACCAATAATCCAAAATAAGAAGAATGGAAATATGGTTGTCTCAATTAAAAATATGCCTCTTTAAGGGAATAACCAAAAACATGCTAAAGCAACACTCCCATAGGGTGTAATCAATGCACACTGCCAAATATGGGCATAGATTCCCTTATTCTAATCCTATCTAATCCAACCTAATCTGTTTAAATAGTGATGTCTAGTTCTAATGACAGATGCTGCTGACTGAGCCCTACAGCTTGCAATGTGACTATTTGATATGCTTCACAAAAAAAAAAAAAAAAAGGTCTTATTTTAATTAATTTCAGCTTTGAATGTAATATTTGCTTAGAATAAAAGTGTTCTTAAATCACACTTTAAAAAAAAAATCATTTTATAACTCACTTTATATTGCAATACTCACATCATTTACATAGAGTGACATTCAGCGCCAACACCCTCTTCACACACACCTTTTTACATCTCAGCAGTCTGGGAAGGATATTTCCCATTATTTGTACCAAAAACTTTTCAAAAAATTCAGATATTAAGAGTTTAAAGGCACAATGGAGCAGAAATGTATACTAACGTTCGTGACAATTATTTTCAGCCCAAAATGCAGAAAATGAAAACCATGTAGTCAGCTAAATATAACTATAACATTTCTTGTAAATTATGCTGATGCCTCTACCCAGCTTTCAAACCCTTAGACTATTTAAAATTAATATGGAAAAGTACTTTGTGAACTAATAGCCAAATGGTGCATGACTCTGTAGACTTGTAAACACAGACTTTTCTTCTGCTGCAGCCTGTGGATAAAAAGAAGAGTGTATGTAGAATGACTCTTTGGCATTAGTACAGCCTGATAGCTTGTGCTATTTTCACTAGCTGGCTCATTCTCCCAAACCAAATCACAAGTATTTGCATGAGTCAGATTGGACACCTGTTTCCACAACTTTCATTTTTGTTTAATTTACATTTAAAAACCTGCAATAAACCAGTGTAAGTCCTGAGCAGTTCCTACATACAGAATAAAATTACCACATACATTGTTTATAAGTAATACCAATAACAAACCTACAGTACATATGTTCATAACACACCTAAAAACATTTAATTGAGAAATATTACTAATTTGTACTTCTGAAGAGGAAGCCTTTTAATGGCATGTTCAGGTGTGTGTCATTTTATCACAATTATGAAGAGATGTTGTGGTCTGCTGGGAGAATAGCAGCCTGATTCATCAGCCGGTTTCACTTCATGGAAACTGTCTGACCTCTCAGCATTCGGATTCATTCATTCGATGGTAGGTGGGTACTTTTTTATTATAAGAAGAAGGGCAATGACATTCTCATTCAATAACATTCTCTTTGTTCCAGCTTTAAATCCTTGATCTCAGGAACACAACACAGAATGTATGGCTTTGTTTACATCCATTTTGACCACTTTGTTTACTGTTATGCTGTACCACAAAAAGGGACCCAGTCATGGCTTCACAGCTCTTCGCTGATTGGCTGGTGTGCGGCCTACAACTTCCAGGGTTCATGCAAACCGTCTAGTGTATTCCGATTCCTGACCTAGTTGCTGGAGGGAAATTAAATTGAGCAGAGGGACTAGGTGACACCAGCCTGGCTAGGAGAACAGTACTCCCCTCAAGTATTTAACGCTAATCTGAATGTTGATGTTACGATTGCTTCTCACACCAGTTCATTCTGATGTTGTGTCCTTGAGCAAGAAACATCACATACATTGGTGATTGTAGAGTCAGGAAATACTGATACTTCATAGCACTGATTCCAGTGATAGATATTTGAATAAAAATGTCTCAAAACAGTATAAACAAAAGTATCTCAACATACATCTTTAAACTGAAAAAAGTTTATAACCACGATAAATACTGACATTAATTCAATTCCTTATAATGAATTGGCCCAACACATGTTCCCGTACAGCTGTGTGTTTGAGCTGAGTCAGGTGCTTATAGTCAGAGGGGGTTTGAAGGAACAAGGTTTTCAAAATTGCATTAAAATTACTGTAAATTACAAGCTCAGCAAAATCTACTCGGTCCCTGGCCATTTATGGCAGGCTTCACAAAGATGTTTTGTTGTCCTCTTCACAGACAGCAGAAGAAAGGATAGTTCAAACTTTCTGTACACTTAATCCTATTGTCTATTGGCTTTAACTTTGACTCATTTCCCTGTGCTTGAATTGGCTGCTTTGAAAACTCCCCAGAACACATGCCTCTCCATTTTGGTAACATTTCTTCTTTGGCCCATCCCCATTGTCATTAACTTTCAAGAAGCAATTTTCAAACTATTTATTGCGTTCAGTTTGAGCTGTTCCTGTAAGATCAATGCCCTCTTTACATAAAATAGTCTCCAGGGATTTCAGTGCTGTAGAACATGTGGAAAACTGTGCCTCTTACAATCGAAATTCAAGCTACCCCCATTTTCCTCTGTCATTTAAAACAGTAGTGCCATCTGCCCTCAGAAATGCACCCACTTTCTGTACTAACAACATGCATTCTCTGTCATCTCATTCAAACCAGTTGGACGTTATTTTCTAGCAGTTTCTGTAGTTTTTAAATTGTATTTGATTCTTTATTTTACTTACTCTTACTCTAAAAACCCTATGTTTACAGACCAACCATGACATACCACTCAACAAATCACCATTCAGAGGAGTAGCTAAAGTAAGTGGATATTTTATAATGGGAAATATACTTAGTTAGTTTTAGAGTTACTGTGCCTGTTAAAAGACAATAAAAATACACATCTTATAATTTCAGATGTAAAATGTTGATTCAGGTTCCAGTATACATAGTCATTATCTAAAGCTTGATAAAAAAGTAAAATGATTTCAGTTATCAGAATGTCATACAATGGCAACATTTGCTATCAATTCTAGAATAGACTTTAGCTATTCACATCCCTTCAAAAGTTTATGAATTAAAATTCACATGCATTTCTCTCATAGACTTTTTCTCATAAATTATTGTAAACTCTTCATATTTATTTATTTATTTAGAAGTTTAATCAACTATGTGTTAACTTATGAACATAACACAATTATAGTCAAAGTAATAAAACAATATTGTAAATGTATAGGAAAACATAGTTTCAGACTAAAAAGAAAAAAGAAATGTTCTATAATAATGACTAAGACTAATGGCCCATACCTCATAAAAGCTTTTTAAGTATGAATGAATGACTTGTGTTCATTCATAGTCATAATTGTGTATTTGTTTTGGCTGTAGGGTCCCAGTCACTTCCTGTCTCTGTTTCTCTCGGACAGATTGCGCCTTAATCCTCATATGGACGTAAATATAGCACAGCAACACAATGGAGGCATTCCTCAAAGGGGCAACCTCAAAGCCTCAAAGTCTGTCCAGTCCAGTCTGAAGAAGGCCCAGGAAGACGTCAGCTTCTACATCCCTTCACAGTGAGGCTATATAGTTCTCAGACAATAACTTCTTAGGTTCTTTTTAAAGACAATGCAGTAAAGTGTATTTACCTTGTTGACATGTTTCGGCTGCTAGCTGCAAGCCATCTTCAGAACTGTTCTGAAGATGGCTTGCAGCTAGCAGCCGAAACATGTGAACAAGGTAAATACACTTTACTGCATTGTCTTTAAAAAGAACCTAAGAAGTTAAAGTATATAAGAAGACCAAATGAACATCATTGGCTTAGTTCTCAGACACTTTGACAAATTGATATCATGAGATCATGTGTAAGGCGGATGAAGTGTCTTGCTTAAGGGCACAATAAAAGTATTTACTAGAGCCTGTGCAGCTCCACTGTGGCACATGGTAATCTCAGTGGTCTCCAACCTAAATACTAACAGCACCAACCCTGCTACACTTCCTAAATCAGACAAGACTGGACATTCTGAATGTGGTACAGCTGCCATGGTTATGATAAAAGTTCACTTTTAAAAACACAAGAGACAATTATAAAGAACAAAGCTTGTTTAAGGGCCTTTTGTGGCCAGAGTTAGAATATAGACTAGCAGTTCTGCCGAATCTTTAGAATCAGAGCAGCAATCTCTGTCACTGATATCGACTGGTGATGAATAAAGTTGAAATCTAAGTTTGAGATCAAAGAAGGTCCAGTGATTACATCTGAATCACTGGTTGGTATTTCATCTTTTAAATATTTTTTTGGACAATAAAAGGCCTTGCAGTGATAGACTTGGAGTCATAGCGCCCCCTATGGGAAACTAAAAAAAGACTGCTTTGGCCCAAGTACTGAAGAGAAACCATTATAATTAACAAGCAAAGCAAAATTTTCAGTGTGTTTGTATTTCTGTGTCTAGAATTCAGGGCACATTTGTATATATTCTCTCTCTCTCTCTCATGTAGGTGGCAGCCAGGAGTTGGATGTCCACAATTTTGGCAATGGGCACAGCTCTGAGGCCTAATTATTTATGGGGCTTCTACCTGTTTCCAAAGTATTATAATTACGACTGGGAAGCGCTGCAGTACACCGAGGCTCAGAGGTGATGAGGAGGCAGAATGATTCACTGACTCCACTGGCTCTGGTCCTCCAGCACTACCCTCTACCCCTCTTATATCTGCAGGTAAAACACATGTTAACATCTTTTATCTGAAGTTTGTTCAAAGTAATTTAATGTGAGGGGTAGAGATCAATTGTAACCCAAATCGTTTTAAAATGTATTATTCATTCCAGTCTCCAAAGATACTACACTCAGTCTACCCAAGGTGGCAGGGCTTAGGTATTACATAATCTGCTGATCTATGTTATAATGTTCTTTCCTCACAAAAACATAAATGGAGTTATGTTTTGTTTCATTTACACATGTTTAACACACAAACCCTGCATATTTACACTGAGTTTTTCACACAAACTGAAAACATTGTTCCACCTTGTGATATCATGTCATAATACAGGAAGTGCTCCAAAGTGTTTTTCAACTCTGTACACTTTCATTAGAATCATTTGGATAATTTCTCCCTGGAATTTTGCAACTCTACTGAACTAAAGGTAAAAGATTTAACTTGAAAACAACAACTTCATGACACCACAACGTGAAACAGAGCATTTTGAGCTTTGGAGATGTAGACAGACTAATCAGGCAGGATTACTCAAACATGTGTGAATGAAGCAAAACACAGGGTAAAAAACAGGGTAACAAGATTCCCACAAGACTTAAAGTACAGTAGAGTCAATTTTTATTTAATAATATTGTAAAGAATACTCTTAGCTTTCACATGATCTAATTTTCCCCTTATGTGTCAGTCTTCTTTGGCAGCTCTTAGTCGGCTCTAATGATGATGGGTTGTGTGCAAAAGGCCCTCAAAGCGTTGGCCCCGTCCTGTAATGCCCCCGCCCCACCTGTGTTTGTCTACATCCACAGGTTTTCATCGACCAAAATAGACACTTCCTCATCCAGGTAAATGTGGACAGCCCCGAACCAGAGCTATTTAAATGCTCATTTGTTTATGCGTCATGCTCACAGCCACCCATCTGATATGTGCCACATGGAGGTTTGGCTCACCAAACAGATGGGGAGTTTGTATATTTAGATCTCAATAAATCAGACCATCACGAAAAGAGACATTTATTTTCTGTAGTTTAATTAAAAAATTAGATTTATATTAGATGTGATGGTGAAGTGCTTACCCAGGTGCTCAATGTAAGAATGGATTATTTATTTTTATTTATTTTTTATTTTTTCATTGTTTCTTAGCAGGAATCAGATGCAACTGAAAACAGTAAGTTGAATGCCAAACTTATATTCCAGACAAACCAATCAAGCAGAGAAGGGGTCGCCCATCAGATATTTACAGCAATGTCGGCTCCCAGTGGGCAGACCTTTGGAAGTTAGTGGAGTTGTTGCTTTGCTTAAGTAATTTTAGATCAATATTATGATTTAAAATGTGCACATTATAACATTAACAGATTACAGCTGTAGCAAGCTCAAGCACAATATGTCTTCTTTAACTAAACAAAAGTGACTTCAAAATGACCAAACTCTGATGTTGAAGGATTAGAGAAGCAGCTTTAATCAGATTCAGAGGTTAGTCAGGACAAGTTGAAAATATTGTAATGTGTGTTGGTGAATTGACTTAGAGCACGTATGACCTTACTGGGTGAGTGTCTGTGTAATTAATATATGATGTAAGCTTGTTAGTAGTATAGTATTGTTGCCTTTTGAAAGAAGTCATTAGTGAAGGACCTAACACTTGAGTAGATTGGATGGACTCTTTGGTTTCCTGTTATCTGCACATGCTGTATCTGCCCCAGAGGCCCACATTTTGGAGGAGTTTGGTTTCTCAGTGAAACAGCAGCCTCCTCTGGGTCACATAAGAGTGTAATGCATATCCACACTTCTCACCTCATTCAGACCTACCTCCTTTTAAGGGGAAAACGCAATTAGTGGAACATGGATTATTTCGTTTTGCAGCTGTCATAACAATAATAAGCTATTATATAAATCAATAAAATATATTATAATGTAAATGTATTGTGTATACTGTTACTTGATCAAAATTTGGTTTCAGATTCACTTGTTGCATAAATATATTCAGGTGTAGAGGCTATAATTCCAAAATATATTCTACTCATATACAGTGTGTGCACAATTATTAGGCAAGTGGGTATTTTGACCATATCATGATTTTTATGCATATTCTTCTACTCAAAGCTGTAGAAACTTATTGAATTTAAACATATCCAGTAATGGCCTAAGGAAATAAACACCCTATATCAAGGACTGCAGAATTATTAGGCAGCTTCTTTTCCTCAAAAATGGGCCAAAAAGAGATTAAACTGACTCTGAAAAGTCAAAAATTTTAAAAAGTCTTTCAGAAGGATGTAGCACTCTTGAAATTGCTAAGATATTGGGTTGTCATCATGGCCAAGGTAAGTTAGGCTGAAATCCGCAACCACTGAATGAGAAACATAAACTGAAATGTCAAGACTGGGCCAGAAATATCTGAAGACAGATTTTACAAAGGCTTTTTGGACTGATGAGATGAAAGTGACTCTTGACAGACCAGATGGATGGGCCTTTGGCTAGATTAGAAATGGACATAGAGCTCCACTTCGACTCAGATGTGGAGGTGGAGGTACTGGTATGGGCTGGTATTATTAAAGATGAGTTCGTTGGACCTTTTTTAGTTGAAGATGGACCCAAAATGAACTCCAAAACCTACTGTCAGTTTTTAGAAGACACGTATTCGAGCAGTGGTACAGGAAAAAGCCAGCATCTTTCAAGAGGATAATGATTTTGATGCAGTGGTTGTGGTTGCAGCTACGCAAATAGTTAGTTGCGTGATCATTCTGCACATTAATTGATGCCCACTAATTTTGCACACATAGATTTTCTTCTAAGAAAGCCAAAACTTCACTTTTAGTTTCTTAAATATTCCGGTTTGAGGTTTATTAACATTTTAAATTGACTGAGAGCATTGTAATTGTTCAGTTATAAAATGAATCCACATAAATACAACTTGCCTAATAATTATGTATACAGTGTACAAAATAAGTAAAACATGAAATGATAGAACCAATATTTTTTGTCACATTATGTAATTTATTTTTATCTTATATATATATAAATATAAATATATATATATATATATAATATATATATATATATATATATATATATATATATATATATATATATATATATATATATATATATATATATATATATACACATACACAATTAATTGTGTGTAATTGTGTTGATCTTGAATTGTTCCATTCTCCACAAGTACATAAAGTCCTCTATGTTTAACCTCAGGGTGGTTGGATGCGCACCACTGGGGAGAGTGCATCCGTTGGGGCATCTGGTGTAATCCTGTGGGGGGCCAGAGTGGATTACGGTGACCAGGTAACCACACACCACACCCCCTGGACAGACGCGGGATGGGACACGGGCACAAAGCTCCACTGTGCAGACGATACAGGAGTGTGTCAGTGGATTACAAAAGGCTCAGCTCCCATGGATTATGTTTACTGCTGCTGCTGCTGCTGCTGCTTCATTAGTTAAACAGACGGGATAAACATGTTGATAGTGACTTTCAATTGGAGCTTATACAGAGCCACTAAACTCTGCTAATAGTAATGTGAAACTCAGCGGTGGAACGTAGCAAAGTAAAAGAAGTAAAGTACTATACTTTAAATATATTTTAGGTATCTGTAGTTTACTTAAGTGTTTTTTTAAGTGGATACTTTTACCTTTACTAAATTTGAGAGCAGGTATCTGTATTATATACTCTATGGAGTAAGAAAGCTGTCAAAAATATTCGTGCACATAAAATAGAAATCCGTGCGTATTTGGGAAATCCGTGCATATTTGGCTGTAGTTGTGCATAAAATAAATATTTGTAAACTCTCAAATGAGTCCAGTCGTACATAAAATAGATTGTGTGTATTTTATCCATCAGAATATGAATTGAAAAGTTACTACATCAAGAATTACAATTACTTTCATCAGTACGAATACGAATTCACAGACGCAACTTTACTGTCAAAAATACGTCATCACTTCACAGACATTATTTATCGAGCAGAAGAAACATCGATCGAGATCAAGACTGCGCATGCGCTAAAGTTGTAGCAGAGGGTAAAAATGGAGTAATGGCACAACATGCTGACTGACAGGTAGGTTCATTCAAATTTATTGTTAAAATGTCTTGTCTTGCCTCATTGAATTCGGGAACCGAATGCTGCTGTGTGATATCGTGTAGAAACACCTCCTCTGAATGGGAAATTGCACCGATATCTTAGTAGAAACACAGTGGAGCCAGTTGGTGAACATCAGACATAACGTTATCCCAGGGCTAATTAGCAAATATCAGTTTCTCTGTATGTTTAGATTAAAACATTCACGGCTACAGCCACAGCGAGCATCAGTCGGTCTTAACCTTCATCTCAGCTGCCTTTCTCACATGAATCAGTCCGCAGGTGCACATCACTGAAGTAGGCTGACCAAAAGTTCCTCGGGACGCTGAAATGTCCCCGTTTACACCAAACACTACCGAACTGTCCTGGTTACAGACATCACAGCCAATGAAATGTTACACATTACAGTTTACAGCTTCCAGCATCAATTAATGTTCGTGTTTATAGGCAACATCTTGCTATGTATACAGTATTTACCTGTAAGTATAACGTCACTGTGTTGTGGCGTGGGTAGATTTGCTAGTTCATTATAACCCATTGCCCAGTTTCACAGTAAGAGCAGGGGTTACTCCATCATTTTTTCCAAAGTAATCGTCTTCTACATGATTATATATTTTGTGTTTGTGCAGTCAGCGTGTGCATAATGATGATATAGCATTCCATGCATTATGAATATTGGCTTTTAGTTGAATGCAAGCAGATATGAAGTATTAGGAAGACTTCGGTAAACTAAGACAAACAATACAATAGATTAAATTGACAAGTGCATGCAAGTAAAATACTCTATGTGTAACCTAACAATTTCATATTTACAGGAATCTCTGCTGACACAGTTGATGGGATG